ATTATTATACATATCTGATCGACCGTTTATCAAATGTTTCAGCCAGCTCGACAACACCTGCATTTGGCCGCAAGCATGCACCGCGAATATAGCAGCCAAGCTACAGGCTGCAGTCGTTATGGTATGCAATAGAACACCGGCGACCAATTGAATGAAAAATACGATTTCATTCGTAAAACTATAGCGAGTATCGATGATAAATCTCGAGAAGGGAAACACCAAAGGAATGAAGGTAATATTGCCATCCTCCGCAGGAATTTTCCCAACGCTAATTGGTACGGCAATATAGTAAAAGGCAAAACCACTGTACATGAAAAACGTGCAAATAACGACCAACTTTCTTCCAAAATTTGCATTCGTTATCATGATTTCTCTGTCTTTAGAATACGTGATATTCTTCCAATCCCATTCGATACGTTTGATGCATTCGCTGATATTATCTTTATGTAGGATTAACAAATGGTATTTTAGAAATGCCATCACGCAGAAGCTCAATGGACCAAATAGTTTTATTCTGTTGTAGATATCTTCCACTTCGAGAATCACATACAAACTGCATGGTATCGAGAGGAAACTTATTAAACTGTAGCAGATTACATTTATTAATCGATAAAGATATTTTCCTGTCGTTGAAATGGTGGAGGAATTTGGCCAAAGACCGATCGGTTTTAAAATCCAGCGACTCCATTGAATGCTCAGGTTTACGTTTTTCTTATAGTCGTAATCTGTTCTGATACATGACATGCCCTCGATTTCTAATTTATTCATCATTAGAGTTTGAACGTCGCTTTCGAACTAACCAGCAATTGTTTGATCTCAGGTTTAGAGAAAAGAATAGAGCGCTTGCGCCGGTTTTCCAATTCCCCGGTTTCCCTTCGGTAGAGGGGAACAAGTTTATTTTCTTCGATGAATTGAAGTATTCTCCCCTGTTGCATCGTGTTGGATTTTTTTTATTTATGCATTATGAGTTCAAAGTGCTGCGAATGATAGTGAAGCCATCGATTCATTCATAAAACATCAAAATAACATTTCTCGATATTATATGGAGTTATTTTTGAAGTTTAACTTTCATTTTTTATTATTTAATACAAAGAAAAGAAATCATTGTAAAAAATTAGTAAGTATCAATTGTAAATTTTTTTTTATTCACATTTATAATAAAATTTGTTTCTTAGATTCTTTACATAATAAGACATATGAAAAATTACAGTTTTTTTAATAGAAAAAAAACACATTGATTCTTATAGACTAATATAATAATAAATTAATTTTTATTAAAATAATAAATATAGTTTATATTGTATTGCATTTTGAAGAATATTTAAGTTAATGTTCGCAATACATTCAAAAAAGCAAATGATGTTTTAATCACCTATTTTGTACAAAATATTTTTGTATATTTTTAATTACATGTAAAAATTCGTGAAGTTATACTAATTTAATACTTACGTCAGAAAAAGTACTCATTGATAATTCGATTAAATTCCCTGCTGTTAATTTAGTAGATGAATTAGACATTGCGATTATCAAAACGCAACACAACTTTTTCTTTCCGAATAACTGGTACCATTCGATCATGTACGTTACTTCCCCTATATTCCTAGACTATTATAAACTATGCCACAATTGTTGTGTGTAAAATATTGATATAATCATTAAGAAAACCATACCTGATTGGCCAAAAGCTCTCCTATGTAACAAAATATAAAAATATTGAATATAATCGTTATAAGTAATATAAGATATGTTACAACTTCCGTTAGATGATTCGATTCCCATTCCTGTAATATCAAAAATTATATTATATTATGTCGAAAAGAAATACTTATTAAAAAATATTTTTTTAAATATCTTTTAATTATGTACCATGATGGCACAATATCCAAGAAGGCATACGTTTATTGTACATTCTAAAAATTCCATGTATGATACTTGTTGAAGAATTTTTTCGATAAGTGATAAAAATCTGTTATAAAAATAAAATAAATATTATCACAATAATTCTATATAAATATTTGACAGATATTAGATATAAGAGATTTCAAATTACAAAATTATTAAAGCTTAAAATTTTTTGTAATTAAAAACTATTTCAATTTTCAAATTTAATAAATAAAATTTGAATATTTAAAAATATTCAAATTTAATAGTAAAAAATTATTTCAATAACAAGTAATACAATTTCTATATATTTTTTTCAAACTTTGTCTCTATACTTTTGAGAAAAAAATATATAATTTGCTAATAAAATCAAATTTAAAAGAAATTCTTCGCAAAACAATTATACTATAAAATTTTATCACGAGATAAATAAATCTTACACACTTTAATATTCGAACGTGTTGATTTACAATCGTGGCAATTCGCTGATCGACGCTGTTACACATATCTAACCGACCATCTATCAAATGTTTCAGCCAAACCATCATCACTTGTATCTGGCCACAAGCGTGAACCGTTAATATGGCAGCCAAACTACACACCGATGATGTAACACCATGCAGCAAAAAACCACATATAAATTGAGCGAGAAATACAATCTCGTTTATTGGACTATATCGAACATCAGCAATGTATTTTGGGAAAGGAAACATCGTGGGTATGAAACTGATATTAGCATCTTGTGCCGGAATTTTCCCAATTTTCATCGGTAC